CCCACCTTAAGGATTGCCTTCTGCCTGAAGGGTTACCCTTTCCAGGTGAAGCCTGCACGCAGTGTCAGACCCGAAATCTGCAGTTCGTCAGGGTGGAATAACTGGGTTAGCTGGTCCTGCTGTAGCAACTGCTTCCCATGGAAGTCTTCTCCCCACCGGCAGCGCAGGGAGCCAAGGAAAATGGGTTTGCAGACCAGCTGCCCCGGCGGTGGTGGGGCAGGAATGTGGACATGCCGGTGCCACCCCCTTTGTGCTGCATCCCCTGCTCTGCTGCCGTGGGGGCAGGTGTCCTGAGTAACTCCGTCACTGTCACAGGTTTTTGGGAATGCACCTCAGCTAACAAAAGGGACAGCAATTATTTTCCGGAAAACATTGCCTCTGGACTAAGCAAATAACAGAAGCTGATGGTTGGGCTTCCAGCCACGTTACTCCCTGGGGGTGTCCTCCTGAGGAGCAGCACGTGGGCACGATGGTCGGTTGAGTGTCGTGGACACTGCAGGTGGCTCAAGGTGAAGGGGATGATGTTGCACCCACCCCGCGGCAGGAGGTGCAGGCCAACAGGAACATCTCCAGCCTCCCCTCTCCTCCAACTTGCCTCTTGTCTTTGTGTCAGCCCTTGGCAGGAGTTGGGGGCCCTGGAATGAGGGAAAGCCATCAGCTGCTTGCTGCTGCAGAGCAGGGAGGAGGAGAAGGAGGAGGGACAGGAGCTGGGCTCACAAGGAGCAGATTCCTCCAGTGTCATCTTGTGCTGTGCATCCCCCTACCCTGGTCCTGTGTGCCTGTTGCCAGACCACAGCTCTGGGAGTGCAGGGGCAGAAGAAAATGGAAGGATGTGTTTTCTCTGACGTGCTTAGAGGTGTGTAAGTTGGTGGCTAGTGACCTGGCAAAGCTCAACTCGCTGGAAGTGAGGCGATAGCAGGGCCCCCTTCTCCGAGCCCCTCTGCTCTGAGCTATCTGTGCTGCAGATGGACATGGCAAGTTTCTTGCCTCTGCCTCCTCTCCTGCCCCAGTTTGCCTCTGGCACGGTCCTCAAAACCCTGATGGCTTCCTTTGTGCTCTCCCCTTGCTCCAGGTTACCCAGAGCCCTGGCCGGCAGGGTGAGGAGGTAGGAGCAGATGTGAATGACTGACGTACCTGCCGCCCCGCTGCAGCCCACCCTGGGCAACATGTGCT